CACACACACACACACACACACACACACACACACACACACACACACACCTGAAGATGAATGGTCTGTGTTTACCGTCATTAGAGTGGTGCTGAGCTCTTTTAGCCTGGATCTGCCTTGCGGCCGATCCCAGAGCCAAGATGCCTCGTCCTATTATTACACTCGGACCGGAGGAACGTTCAGACTGGCGCTGTAACGCTCGGGGCTACAGAATGTCCTACTGTCACTCTGTCTATGCATCGACATTATCTGCATGTCCGTCCCACTGGGATGTGATGAGGGGGAGGGTAACGATGATGTATGAAAAACGAACTGGCTGTAGAAGAAGAAAATCATTAGAAAACTCAGAAGTGGAATAAATCCCTCCCGGTGTCTCCAGTGCTCCTTTTATTGATGGGAGAAGAAGAAGCCAAAGGCGAGCAATCATCCTCAGATGAACGACCCTCCTCCTGCTAGAGGAGGCTGGTATGATTAGTATGAATGCTGTTCTTCTCACCATTCAACATGCTACATGCCACTGGCACAGTGCCAAAGCCTCCAGAGAGCTTCCTGCCTTGTTCCAGCTTTTCAGATCTCTTTTTCTTTTCTTTTTTACAAAACCTGAACAACCAACACGTTCTCACTCACTCTTCAAACTATGACGCTCTCCGTTCACTTCGAGCATCAGTTATGGAGGTGTCAGTTTGTACGACCGATCTGCCTTTACTCCCGTCCGCCATGCGTGTGCTTCAGCGGTCTTTATACTTCCTGGTTCATGTGGAATAACTCTTTGGTCGGTATTCTACGGATGCTGGATGAGAACAGCCTGAGTACAGACACTAAAGGGTGCGTCAGTGCGTCAAACACTGAACAAGCGTCTGTATTTGACACGTTGGGAGTTAGAACTTGTTGTGACGACGTACCCACACCTAGAGCGGCACTAATCAATACTTCTATAATGTCAATGGGTCACATGACACCCCACAGATTATTACTAACTCAGCTCTACGGAGCGTTTTATCATCTTTCAGCTTATTGTTTTGGAATTTTGGTTCTCACCGCATTTTCCAGCAGGAGGAGGCAGCTGTTATCAGCAACATAATGATAGCATCTGATAAACTCACTAGATACACCAAACTGCTGACAGACAGAGTTAGTGCGGAGCTTGTAAACAACCCAGTCATTTCCTTCAGCAGTCGGTGGTGACCAAAACACAGCAAGACGACTGAATGTTGGATTTAAATGTGTTGGAATGCTGATGTTACACTGTCCCCAGCTGGATGCTCTGTTTGCTAACATGCTATTTCATCTCTAAGATGATAACACTTCATTGTTGTCTGAACTGCTCCTAGAAGTCTTTTCATGTATCAAGAACAACAAGCATCAGTTTCCCCCTTAAACTAGAGCGCTACAGAAAGACTCTGAGACACATGCTATCTATATCTATAACTGACTTGATTACTCTGTACTCACGGTTTCATCATACTATGCTACACTACTCTATGCGTAGCATGGAACCTGTTTGGATTCATCCATATCGTATCACTGAGCACCGTATGGGTGGGGGGTTGTGCCTGACTGCTCTGTTCAACCCCCGACTACAAGAACACGAACATCGAGTTATTCACATGCTCGTTAAAAGTGGGACATGATTATTATTTTAAAGCCTCGTTGAAGACGTTTTGTAGCCTCTGAGTCAGAAGTATTAATGCACTGCTGCTGGTTCCCAGAATTTGCTCATGCTTCCTGTAAACACTGTTCATGGAGGTAAAGTTAGCATCAGCTCAGTTTCATCAGGAATAAAAACACCTTTGAGTTAACCAGGTCTCACTCAGCCCAGTGTGCAGCGTGACATGCAGTCATACTGGCCAATCCTCTGGCTGATGTGTTAACAATGCTGTTACTAAGATCAACACCACAATCATTTATCTAACTTTCTGTGATTTAAGTCACACCTTCAACAGCGCTGACGTATGTGTCAGTCTGACGCGGTTAGCGGTCTGTTTCCCCATTAAACACATCTATCATGGACAATATATACATCTTGTTTATGCTATCATATTAGCTGTTGCTGGTTGTTCTCATTCATCTACTGAATGGTGAGCCAGTATATGTGAGGCTTCCTCTAAGGAGGTCAGGTGAGGTAGTCTACAGAGAGACGTAGTCCATGGAGGGCAGAGGTCAGGGTGGTTGGACCGGACAGGACCTTCAGCCAGGAGAACCCGTGTGTGTCCCGTGTCTGTAACGTGAGTCCGGTGTGTTCCCGTGAGTCAACATTGACTTATTTTACATCACTTTTGTTCCACAACTTTCTTACTGAACTGACATCACGTACGTAAGTTATGTCAAAAAAGTAGTTATTTTACGTAACAAACGTCCATATTTGAATCCAAACCACGATTCTAAACCTGACCAAGTAGGGTTTGTGCAGACACACTGATCCCTCGTGTTGCTGTACATTCGTAGCAAAAAGCACGAACAATTGCTTTATGTAAGATATCATAGGAACAACAAGGAAACGTTGATCTGTTATACACACGTTGTAATGTAGCAGTACACTCACGTATTAAGTAAGGACTTGATTGACAGTGGAGGCACATCAACCAATCAGAGGAACTACAGGTGACCTGGTGACCATCGATCTGCATATTGATTTCTAGATGAACTCTCCCTCAGGGTGTCACACAGGAGGCTACCTATTAGCTCATTAGCTTCCCCAGTACGCCAAATGCTTCGGGCTCATTACAATCTGTTTTATTTTGATAATGTATCTGTATTTCTTTTAATATAAAAACAATTGTGAAAATGTATTTGAAAAAATGAAAGAATTGTGGTTAAACGTTGATAAGAGAAGCTGCATTACCTTCAACAGGACTGGATGATCAGCAACTCTTCACACCATCAGATACCTGTCCTGTATGGAAGAAGCCTGTTTACTGTAAACTGAGTGAAGCGGGTCCACAGAGAGGAGCTGAACCCAGTAGCCTGCTAATGTATTCATTATGAGTTATGTTTTAGCTTTATGATAACGCGTTCTTCAGTCTGAGTCTCGTATGCAAAGTAAAAGACATTTTTCTGAATGAATAATTAGTGAGTGATATGAATTTAAAGGTCAGTGTCTTAACGGGTGAAACATGACACAACCCAGAGAGAAGAAATAAACTGATCAAATAGTGGGTTATGATGGACACTCCCATTAATGTTACAAAAAAAAGAAAAAGAAGAAATCTGTAATTGGAGCTTCAGTTGCACATTGTCAGCAGAGATGATGCTGTTGCATTGCGCACTGTGGTGTCCGGACCTCTTATTTACTACATAGTAACCCAGCAGTTGTTGCACTGTAGCAGCTTCATGTCTGCAAAGCTGTGCGCGTGTGCGTATCCACACACACACCTGATCCAGGTCTGATATCTGATCGATCAGACCCGCTGAGATGGAACCTCAATCCCGCATCAGAAATGGATACAAAGGGTCGTTTTTTATTGAAAACACATCAGTGGCGTTAATCTGAAGCGGTTTCATTGCGATGCCCTACAAACGGAGCCTCCCGCTGCACCGCCACAACATCTTCCATCCCATCAATAACCAGCTGCACCACTGCTGGAAGGTAAAGGAGGCGGTAAGACCTCTGGCTGCGTTTCAGTGTTTCATTGCCGTAGATAAATATTTCATAAATATTTCAAATACGGGTTGTCCTCAAAGTCCACGTTTAAGACTGAAAACCCAACGGACCCGGTTCTAATTCAGAAACAACGCCGATGTTAAACCCATTCAAACTCAACAAGGCTCACATTTCTACCCGACCTGCTCTGCACTGATGTGCCAAAAAAAGCGCTCCTTCCATCCGCCCCAGCGGCGCTGTGTCAGGATGGAGACGCAGAATGTGGTTCAGTAAGCTTTAAAAAGCGACTGGATCATTCAATGCTCTGCTGCTGTACTGTCTCTGAGGGGAATGTCGCCCTGGTTGCGCATGTTTGCCTCCTCAACTTACACAATGAACGCCTGAAAAACGGGTGGAACGTGGAAATCGGAACGTGCTCTGCATCCGTAATTATGATCCCTCTAGAAATAAGCAGGTCGGGTTTAAACATGTGGAAGAGAGCGGATAGCAGGGGGGGGGTGAAGGGCAAAATAAAGAACAGAAATACAGACCCTGGAGCGAAAGGAAGCAGCCTCCGGATCATAAACCCGCTTGCTTAATGAAAAAACAAATTGCAAAGCCCTTCCACCGCACCCAGTGATTTGTGAATCATGTCACAGCGCAGTGTGGACAGCGCGCTGCGGGAGGATGAGCTGAGAGCAAACATGGTCTCAACATCGCATCCAAAACCCTTCCGACGCGTGGTGCTCTCAGGTCTCCAGCCCGGGGGGCTCCATGAGGCGACACCGGCCCCTTAGCATCCCAGCCCCTCCAACTAGAATAAATAAAAAGAACTTGCTCTCACCAGACAATGCGGCGAAATACGAGCACAGACCCTCCAGCATTCAACACCTTTAACCCGCTGAAAACGTACCAAGAAAACGGAAATCCTACCTTTTTATCCAAAATGTGTCCACGAGACAGTCAGTAGTAAAAGCCGGTCTTTAGCTCTACTAGTAACAGTAGCAGGACGAGGAGGAAGAGGAGGAGGAGTAGTAGAGGTAAGCCCGTAGTGGGGAATGGTAATGGAGACGCAGGGAGCTCTTATACAAGGCGGCGTATCCACCGACCGAGACGCACAAAAGAGAGGGAGAGGTGTCCGGATTCCCATGCACCGACAGCGTCTTCTCTCTTTTGTTGCTGTTGTTTTCTGCCGTTGCCTACTCCTCGTTTCCATGCAGCGCGACCTGTATGATCGGATGACCGGAGCGGCGCTTCATCAGCAAACCCGCATTTGTTGGGACGAGGCGGCGCGCAGCACGGCGGACTTCTTCCTCATTCTTCCCTTTCCCTGTTCCCCCCCTCTCGCCGCGTGCAAGCGCAAAAGGAGAAGAGAGAGAGTGAGAGAGTGAGAGTGAGAGACAGTGTGAGAGTGTGTGTGCGCGCGCGGGTCCCTACTTCGTCTGTTCACTCACACACCGAGCGAGGATCAGCGCGCCCGCCTCCTCCTTCTCTGTGTGTGTGTGTGTGTGCGTGTGTGTGTGTGTGTGTGTGTGTGTGTGTGTGTGTCCCTCACTTCAGTCGTCGTGTGTCTATTCACATAAATCTTGCTCCAGCCCCCCCTTACTCACTCACCCCCTCTTTCGGGTTAATATCACTGCCCCGTTGAGAGTAAATAGTGAGTCCAGGAACATGTCACATCTCAGTCTCTCCAGCTTCAAACAAGCTTTATTGACAGGTCAGGAACCTTTCTGCAGCACTGACAAGTATTAACATTGACAGATTATTAGCAATACATTTAAGCCTGAATAAGTAAATATCAAATAAAATATAATATAGACTTGTTTTTCACTTTGTTTTTCATGCGGCGGGTCATTTTTGAGATTTTGGTCTATTTTTCTTCCATAACTCGTCTTCTTTCAGACTAGAGGAAATAAAACATTTATTTTACTATTTTACTGGAACTAGAAAATAGCAAGATCAAGATCAACCAGTATTAAAGAAGCAAAAAAAATAAAAGATATATACGACTAGCCCAAATGTTCTCTTTGGGTGAATCATATATTATTTGTATTTAAATTATAATTGATTTATATGTTTTTTTCAGGAATCAAGGCAAGTCAAGCTTAACATTTGCATTAATACCCACATGTCAAATACAACATTAAAGATATTTAAATCATAAATCTCAAAAATCATACAAACCTGCAATGAAAACTATGATACAGAAATATACATAGAAATAATAGAAACAGTAATATTTTACTTGCCCTGAATGTTCAGCCTGTCGATTGGCCAGAATTTGTACTGCTTCTTACAAAACAAACAAACAAAAACACAACAACAACAACAACAACAACAAGCCGGCGATGAGCAGAAAGCTGAGTTTAAGAAGAGACTCGACCACGTTGACACTAAAGACGAGTCCCATAAACCTGCAGCCGTGTGAGCTAACGTAAAGAGGCAGGTAGCAGGTGGACAACCGCTGCCCTGAGGTCTGGAACAAGCACGTGAACTGTGCTCGAGTGGACTTCCTGAGCACAGAGTCGGCGTGAGGAGCTGCTGCTCTGGAGGAGCTCCTGGGCTCCGGAGAAGCAGACAGGGTCACTGGACCAGAAGAGAAGCAGACAGACGATGCTGCAGGTTTAGGAGGAGAGAGCAGAGGTGGGGCGGGCTGGTGATGATGGGATGCTGAGTGGAGCAGCAGAGTTGTGCTGCATGCTGGGAACAGAGCGGGCTGGTCTCATCCAGCATTCATAGCTATAACTACGGAACATAATGCACCCTAATTTGTAGATAAACCACAACATTGTTTTGTATATTATCCACGTAGTCCTGAACTAGAAAGTATAAAGACTGAGCACACAGAGGAGTGGAGGTGGAAGAGTCCAACAAACTATCTTTAACACACCGCAGTTTGTTGCTCGTGTTAAACGAGAAGTCACTGTTGATGTGTTTGGTGAATGCATACTTGTTCTTGTAAAGCACTTTTCTAGTCCTCCGACCACTCCAAGTGCTTTAACCCTACATGTCATCATTCACCCATTCATACACAGGCACAGCTATGGGGGCAGTTTGACCAGTGGAGCTGGTGGAACATGTTCTCTGTAGGGCTGAGCCACATCCAGTCAACTTCAGCAAACATCCCAGAATGATTTAATGCAGATACACTAAGGTATCAAACACGTATTACTACTTTACAGTTAAATATTTAACCTTTATTCCAACATGAAAAAAGCAGAAAATAACACTTTGATAAACACGTCGGGACAGCTTATTATATTCTCAGTATAATATAATAATATATATATCATATAATAATATTCACTATAACATAATAATGTATATCA